TTAAATACATTCCAAATCACTACTATCCAAATGCATTTCCTATGCTTGAAAAACTGACAGCTGAGCAATGATTGTGTTCTGATGAACAATTTTATGTTGTTTGCACTTCATTTTTTTAAAATATGAATTCTCTTGTGTCATGCCTTATATTTTTTATATCCAAATATGTGTGTACATTTCACCCAGTGACAACCACTTTATCTAGTTACATATTTTAATTTATATACATATATATATATATATATATATATATATATATATATATATATATAATTGACTTCAGAGAGGAAGAGAAAGAGAGAGAGAGATAGAGAGAAAGAGAGAGAGAGATAGAGAGAAAGAGAGAGAGAGAGATGGAAATATCAATGATGAAAGAGAATCATTGATCCACTGCCTCCTGCATGCTTTCTACCAGGGATCAAGCCCACAACTCAGGTATTTCTTTGACCAGAATCAAGCTGTGACGTCCTGGTTCATAGGGTGATGCTCAACCACTGAGTCATACAGATTAGGCTCTAGTTACATTTTATGAGTAAAAGTTAAGACTTAGTTTCAGATCTAAGGTGCTATTCTTAAGATTAAAGGCTTATTATAATTTTCTTTTTTCATTGTGTACTTGTTTTGAAAATAGCAACAAATCCATCAAGCTAAGCTTATAGTGATACCAACTTCTAGGGTACCAGAAGGAAAATACAGGGAGCATCAAATCATTAATAATGTACTTTCTTAATTGCGATGTATTCAGAGAATATTGTTAAATAGGAATTGAAAGTATGAAGAAACAAAATGGTAGCTTATTTTAAAAAATACTGTCACTTGACATTGCTGCCTGCTAGTTCTTTGTTAGATGAAGCACATAAATCATAAATAACATTTCTTTCTTAAATCTTAATGTAGAAAGAGAGAGAGAATCACATTGATAATATGAAGAGAATTGTGAGACGTTACCTAGAGACTGAATTGAATGCATTTATACAGAAATATGCCAAGTCATTGATAGTTGTCTGCAGGATCTGTTCATTACATAAGCACTGACTCTGATTCTTTCCTTTGAGGCCCGCACTGTGAATATGGGCCTTGTGGGGCTAGTAATCCTTGTGAGAATGGAGCCATGTGCAGAGAGAAAATGGGTCTGGGAATGTTTCCCCGTGGGTACCAGTGCCAGTGCGGGAAAGGCTTTGCTGGTCCACGCTGTGAGATCAATGTCAACGAATGCAGCTCCAGCCCTTGCCTGAACGGATATTGCTATGACAGTGCGTTCACTCAGCCACAGCCATCCTTGGAGTGCAGTGCAATGTAGAATCTGACGAAGTAATGAAATAGCTCAGGATGAAACCAGGATTAGTTGCTGACTTTACCCTGCCTTGAATAGCAAAGTCAATGCCAATTATTTTCACAGAACATTCCCACCTCTGACAAATTAATTTATATTTTGTGAGTCATACAGTAGCAAATGAAAAATGTTAATGAAATGTGACTTCTGTGTTCAGATATCAGAATTAACCTTTTTTTCACCTTTTTTTAATGGTAGATTTTTAAAGTGTTTATCTGTAGGTAGAGAAAAAAGCAGATTACAATGATTTAAAGTAACTCATTATTTTAGCCCATTTATTATACAAACACACTTCTTCTTACTGAGATATATGTTCCTGAAAAATATAAATTTATAGAGAAATAAAAGAAGGCAAAAAGAAAAGAAGGAAAAATAAAAGGAAGGTAAGAGAAAAAGAGGAGGAGGGAAGAGAAAGCTGAATATTGGATAATGGATTTTATTTTTTTAGACACAGGAAAAACAGGGCATGAAATAGCCCTGTGCCCTGGGTATGGTTAAGAAGATTAAGAGATATGGAGTGGGAAAAAGGAGATAGGAAGAGAGAGAGAGAGAAAGAGAGAGAGAGAGAGAGAGAGAGAGAGAGAGAGAGAGGAGGATGTAGGGGGAAAAAAAACTCTGCGCATCTTATTTAGCTTTATTTTACCTCCTTTCAAGTATATTTCTACATAATCTTTTAGTAAATAGATAAATTGTTAAAATAATGTGATGTGTGAAAAAGCACATTGTGATAGAAAGTCATTTGGAAAGGCTATCATTTAACCAAAATTATGCATTCTTTTATTTAAACCAATGTTTTCCAATGCATGTCCTTAAGGAACATAATAGGGTTTTTTTTTTTACATTGGATGAAACAGCCCAGGTATCAAACAATAGGTAGTGTGTATGTATGTGTGTGTGTTGGGGGGGGGGCGGGGGGGGGACTAGCAAGCTGGAATTTCTACATAGATATTAAAATGGAATATTTTTTTCTAATACTGTGCTAGCTAAGCAAAACATAATTTTATGCTCTGGGCCATTTGTTTGTTACTGTTAATTTGAACCAACTTTTTTTTCCCCCCAGAATTCAATTCTCAGATTACCTTGAAATAAGCCACAGTTATCTTATTTCTGAGCTTAAACCCACAAATGTTTGGTGATGCTGGTGCTCACTATAAAATAAGGAAACAAAAAGTATGCCTAAGGGAGAGGTTAGCAATGCTTTTAGATCTAGGCAGCCCTAGTATAATGGTTATATATGAACACTTCAGATGTACTCTGCGTGAAGAAGGTTTATATACAGGTGTGGGCAAAAGTAGCTTTACATTAGTTCGTATGAAAATAATATAATAATTAATAAATAATACAATAATTAATAAATAAGAATATAAGAATAAACTGTTTCATGTACTCATAACTGTAAAATCTACTTTTATTAGGTCCCCATACATATTACAATTCATAATTCTTTATGTGATAAGAAAATACAATTTCCAAATATGCTACTTAATAGTGAAGTGCTCCCTAGTATATGTTTGAAATTCATAAATAATATGTCATGGAAAATGTGAATTTTGGAGACCTGATATATTGTTGTATTTCATAATATGATTGTTCACAGTATATTTTGGACCAAATCCAAGGAAATTAGCTACAATAGAACCAAAATATGTCTTAAAAATTCACTTGTACATGTAAACTGATAGCATAAATCTAAGGCACTGTATTATTAATACTTCCTCAAAAATAAAATAGTTAGGGAAGCCAAACTTTCTGATTTCAAGTTAATAGTATTTCTTACATGACAATATATAAGAAACATTTATTCATATGTATATTGACTTTATAAATTTCAGACATGGTATGGTTTTTCAGCAGATTTGTTAAAATACCTCTGTATTTTCAACACAGTTTTATCATGTCAGGAACTTTGAATCAGTTCATATAGTGCATTATGTGTAGTGTATAATTAAGTATAAAATGAATAATGTAATAACAATGACTTATAGATGGCTTATCTGATGAAATTAAAATTAGTAGTATGGGATATTTATAAACAAAGACTAATATTAACATAGTGATTGTATTTTCTGATAAAGACAACAGGAAAATAAGGCAATATGCTTTAATAATATGTTCTAATAGATTTGAAAAAGCCCAGTGTTTTTGTTTGTTTGTTTTAAATTTTAAACAAAGTTATGGTTGTTTGTTTATTTTCTTTATGGTAATAAGATCAAATCCTCAGGGTCTTATTTGGAACATAGTTTAGTTCTTAGCTTCTTAGCCCATAAGGTTTAATATTAAAAAAGCATATTTGTTGACAATAAAAACATGTTTTATTTTTTTAGACACCAATCTCGTCTTTCAGACCATTTGTTAATTCAAAGTTATCTTTTGCTGTCATTTATTTTAAAGTAATTCATCATTTATCTACATAGAGAATGTCTATATCTGCACTGAGATTTCATTTTACTCTAGTTATTTGTTATGTGTCAATTTGCATCAATATTTGAACTGGAACTGTAGTCATAAACCCTTTTAAAAATATTATTATGAGTGATGTGATTCCATAATGTCTTCATTACATATTGTATAACATTTGGGTTTTAATTTGTTGTCATACATAATACCTTTATAACATATAAAGATGTGCCAACTAATAACTTTTATCTCATTAATTTATGTACAACTATATATGCATATCAATTGATCATTTATATTAAATGAGACATTGAAAACTAGGATGCTGGGTGAAAAAAGTAAAGACAGAAGTAAAATTCTGTCTAAAGAGCTGCCATTATTTGTGTCTCCCCTGTCTCTTGTTGAGGGGCTGTCAGCTGGCTTGTTCTCCTTAGGGGACCCAGTTACATGTTCTACACAGAAGGATGGCTGCAGAAATCTAGAAACCAGCCAAGGACCTCACATTACATTAAAAATGCTTTTGCCAGCCAGGATCTAAGCATTTAATGAGAGTAATAGCAGGTACTTACACAGAGGCAGGTGTCAGTGGAGGATACGTGGTAAGTCTCAGGGATAATGAGGAACCCGGGGATTTATAGAAGCGGCTATCAATCCCCGCTTGCTCCAACTGCAATTCCTGATGTCGCCATTTCCTTGAGACAGTTCTTTTTCCATCATTAATGATAACATAGAGACCATGTTCTGATCATGACTTCTAAAAGATTATGATGAAATGTGAAAGCTCTTTTGAACAAAGGCTTAGATAGTTCAAAATCAACTTTCAGATCTCTGTGCACTTTTATGTACCTTGTTGTACCAAGAACTTTGATAAGCAGTTAACTTCTGGTTTATTAAACCTAAAACAATCTGAGAAAAGTTAATTGATACAAAACTAACCTGTTGACCACAGGTATTCTTACTGACAAAAAGAGAAAGAAACTAAACTGGATATTTCCACTGTTACTTTGCAAATCATCACCAAATGTTTCTTATTCTTATTTGTGATTATTCTTATTTTAAATAATTTAAGTGTTTAAGTTAAATAGAACTGAGCTAATGTTTTTTAGAAAATATTGCAGAGAACTATGTAGAGTATTACATGTAAGAATTCACAATTTGGGGTTAAAAGTGAAACACATTTAGATGAGCACAACATTCTTTAGAGCATTTAGTATTACCTACACCGTGATGAAAGGAATGTAATGAGCTTTCTCTCTTCTGCTGTTTTCAGTGGTTGCTGGCTTCTGCTTCTGCAATCCTGGCTACAAGGGCCTGAGGTGTGAGCAGGACATTGATGACTGCATCCTGAACGCCTATGAGCACAACTCTACCTGCAAAGATCTGCATCTCGTTAGTATCCATGAATATTATTGATATATTTTATTACGTGGTCGCATCAACTAACCCTACGTATATAGTTAACTTTGGCCTCTGGGGCATGTTGCTACATATGAGTACTTATTAAGATTAGAAAACAGAAACTTGAGCAATATTTTTTTTCACTCAATGGTAGTAAAAAAATGTTCTAGTCACCACTATAAGCAGGTTGATGTGATATTACAAAACCAACTGCTCACTCTGCTCTCACAATTCTTGGTGATATTGAATTTGTGTAAAATTTCAGAAATTATTCTGAAGAGAGCTGTTAGCCTCATAGGTACCTACTTTTACCTAACTCGAGGTATTGTATACACACACATAATACGGAGGCTTGAATTTTATTTTGATTTCCGCCTGGCATTGTATACTTCCATCATTTTCTGCCTTCTCCTGTGTCAGGGCTGCCCCTTCAGTACATATCCATTTGTCACAGCCTTTGTCAGAAGCATGTGCCATTCGGCCTTAAACGAACTGACACAGTTGGCAAATCAATGGGATCCCCTCTGGCTGGTCATTTTTCAGAAAGCCTGACATAAAAACATCTACTCAAGGTGGATTCACTGACTGGTTTCAGAGAATAAATGACAGACAGCATAGGTTAATGCTGCAATAGTGGTATAGGCTTACGGTTTATTCCTTAGCAACAGAGCTGATTTTCACAAAAGGGCCACACTAGCTGAGCTTAGGGGAAAAATGCTTTGAAGAACAGACTTGTTTTCAGACCACCAGTGTACCTATACCGACATTGTTTGTTTTTACAATGAGAGGATCATTTGCGGCAAATTGTGTCTTTCCCAAAAGGAAGGCAGCCACCTAAATGAAGAATTATAACTAGTGTTTAGATGGCTGTGTCCAGAAACAGGATGGTCCATCAGCTATCCAACCACCCTTGAGGTTTGTGTAGTGGCCCTGATGCTATGTCTTAATTCATGCCAGATGCTTTGTGTAAGGTGGCTGTGCTAATCTCATCCACTTGCAAGGATTCCTGTAGGAATGGGTATGGGGCCTGATGCTGGTTTCTGTGTTAAGAGTGAAGTTCTTTCTGGGGAAAGAAAAAAGGATGTAAATTAAAGGTAGTGACCTGTCCTAGACCTTCAAACATCTGGAATTATACATATAATTGATGCTACCATTGTCAGACCCCAAGAATGGGAGTGAGGTGCTGCTTAATAATGAGTGACTCTGAAGGTAGCAGAGCCAAGAAGGAGAAGAAACCTGACTCTTGATCAATTGTTGAACTGATGAAGCCCCTCCCCACCCCAGGTGCCTACCCAACCTCCGAATCTAATTATGAGATCACTTATGTCCTATTTTTAAATATGGCTTGAATTAGAGTCCCTTTTACTTGCAGGTAAATCATCTAATTTCCATAATGTGATTAAACTTTATTTTAGTCTATGCTTTCAGCTATAACTTCAGCAATAATAGGAGTTTATTATAGTAAAAAGAGCTTTATACCCATGATTATAATATTCAACTTCTAGTCCTGACCTTGCCACGACTTCTCTTTGTGACACTTCTCTTTCCAATCATTTGAAAAGTCAGGGACTGCAACTTTAGAAACTGTATTGTACCAAATAATAAAGCTTCCAAGTATAGCATCCTCTCATTTATACATTTTATAAATTGCCAGTAAGAAGTTATTCAGACTAGCTTGGACTAGTATTAGTTTGCAATCTTGCTTCATTGTATAACTAGAGGCCCAGTGCACAAAATTTGTGCACTTCTAGGGTCCCTAGCGGCTTCCGGCTGTTGTACAGGTACTTCCTCACTTCCTCCGGCTGGCCCTGCCCCCTTGTCAAACTCCCGGATGACCTCTTGATTGAGGGGACAATTTGCATACTACGCTTTTATTATATAGGATAAGAATTAAAAAAAATAAGAATTAAAAAATGGTAGAACTCATAGAAACAGAGTATAGATCGGCAGTTACCAGCAGCTGGGGTTTGGGGGGAATAGGGAGATGCTGATCAAAAGGTACAGGTCTTCATTTATAAGATGAATAAGTTCTGGGAATCTAATGTATCGTATAGTAACTATACTTAATAATAGTCTATTGTATACTTGAAATTTGCTAAGAGAGTAGATGTTAAGTATTCTCATGAAACACACAAAAATAATTATGTGAGATGATTGATATATTAATTAATCTTATTAAATATTAATTATTTAATTAAATCATTTAATAATGTGTATATATATATATGAAATCATCACTCTGAACACTTTGTCAATTATACCTCCATAAAGCTGGGGTAGAAAGAATAAAGAAACAAATCAGAAAGCAACAGGGTTGAAAATGAAATAAAATCCTCTAAATAGTGTTTACCAACTAGACTGTTATATTTTGATTAAATTGATTATCAAAATTACATAATTCTAACCATCCTATCTAATAAAAGAAGAAAATGGTAATTAGTGTACGACCGCTACCCTTCCCATTGGCTAATCAGAGCGATATGCAAATTAACTGCCAGTCAAGATGGCGGTTAACGGCCAACAAAGATGGCGGCTAATTTGCATACTGCAGGCAGGATGGGACAGCGCTATTCAGCCTGCCCCGCCGCCATCCGGGCCTGCTATCTGTGACCCTGATGACAGGCGACCCCTGTGCAACCTGACCCAGGGCTGGCAGGCGTGACCCCAGCGATCTGCCACTGGCCAGGCCCCCAACCGGCTCTCCCTCGGGAGATCCCCCGGCACTGGTGGGAACTGCTGCCTGTCAGCCAGCAGTCACACCCCCAACAGGCCCTCCCGCCAGGATGAGCAACCGGAGATCCCATAGCAGGAAAGGGCGGCCTGCAGCCAGCCCCTGTGTGCGCCTGCCCGTGGGATCCCACCACGATCACAGAGCAGGATAGGGCGGCCTGCAGCCTGCCCCTGTGTGCGCCTGCCCTTGGGATCTCCACAGAGATCACGGAGCAGGAAAGGGCGGCCTGCAGCCAGCCCCTGTGTGCGCCTGCCCCTGAGTCACTGCTGAGATTACGGAGCAGGAAAGGGCGGCCTCTAGCCAGCCCCTGGGTCGCTGCAGGGATCACAGAGCAGGAAAGGGCGGCCTGCAGCCAGCCACCCTGTGCGCCTGTCCCTGGGTAGCGCCAGCCCCTGGGTTGCTGCAGGGAGCCCCACCCTGGCCACAGCTCAAGGGAGAGTACAACATGCAGTGGAGGCCAGGAGCCTGAGAGATCAACAGAGAGGGGCGCCTGCTCGGAGCCTTCAGGGTGTGGCTGGGGGTAGGCCCCCAGCAGACACACACACACACACACACACACACACACACGGGGACGGCTGCACCGAGCCTCTGCTGCCAAACTGTGGCCATCAGTAGTACATCCACTGAGGGCTCCCGGACTGAGGGGCAGGCTTGGCTGAGGGAACCCCATCCCCCAGTGCATGAATTTCGTGCACCGGGCCTCTAGTAATTCATATATCAATTAGAAGACAAAATGTTATTATTGATTTGATAATATTCTTCCAAAAGGAGATGTGATGGGAACAATAGATTGTTTAAAATTTTTTAAATGTTCAAAGGATTTGATAGCTTTTAGATACTGTATCTGAGGCTCCAACATGACCTTGAGATTTGATGATTGACGAGGAGTCAGAATACTCATGGTTAGGGTTTATTACATTGAAAAGTTGGTGAAGCCATGGAGAAAGCAGGCACAGGCTTCAGGTGCCTTCTCCTAGAGGACATGTGTGTGTGAAGCACTTTATTCTCTCAGGACATGTGTGTGTGAAGCACTTTATTCTCTCAGACATGATGTGTGACAAGCCCACTGAGGTGTTGCCAATCAGGAAACTCACTCACAAGGCACAGATTTTAGCTAATCCGGCTTCAGCTCCTGCAGCGTTCCAATGGATACAACATAGTCCAAAGCCCAGGTTTAAAAGCAAGTTTTCCTTGTAAATCACATCATTAGCATAAGCTATTTGGCACAGCCCAGCTTGTCAGGGATCAAGCACACTGTTACAGGCAGCACGTTCCAAGGCTCAGAGGTTATCTTCCAAAAAGCCAGTCAGAGCCCACCATTCCTTTTGAATATGTAGGGTTTGAGCACTCAAGCCGTTCTAAGTTAACCGTTGCATCAATGTCATGATACATATTGCATTTTTTATAGAAATACTAGTGAATGGTACATAATTGGACAAATAATACAGTCCATAATAATAAATTGAAACACAAAATCATTTCGAAGACACTAAGCCAGGCAGGAAGAAATAAAAAATGATAATTTTGAAATAAAGCAAGGCCCAATTTGAGTTTCATATTTACTTTCATCAACTCATTGGTAAAATATTAACCATGAAACGTTGAAGGCTTTGAAGGGGAAGAGAAAAGAAAGGCATGGGGTGTGATGTTTCTGAAAAAAAAAATACTTAGTAATTGTGATAAACAGAAAAATGATTTTGCCCAATCTATAAGGCACCCTCATTTGGCTACAGGAGTCAGCAGTCTGCTTTTTGTATGGGTCCTAATCTCAAAACCAATCCAGGTCATATCACAGACGTGAGGATTGCTTCTTCTTTGAACTTGGTGCAGTGTAGCTTTAAATGAACATTTTCACTTTTGCAGAATTTTCTTACGAGTATATGTGGCACCATGAATGTGAGCTTAAATAAAACATCGGAAGACTTTGAAACCAGGATAAGTATTTTGTAACAGTGAGCCAGTTTTCTTCTTTTCCTTTTTTTTATGGTTCAGTAAGCCTCAGAAAACAATGGGATAAAACCAGAAAAAATTTAGTGCTTAGCATATAATGAGATGCAATGTTAAGAATGGGTAGAATAAGATTTATTCCTCCATGTAACTACTTAGGCATATTTGAGAATAACTGTTTCTTTGTGATTATTTAAATATGTATGATCAAATTATTCTAGTATTTTCCCTTTCATTTTACTTTCATTTTCCTCTGTATCTTACATGAATAATGAATGCTTAATTTTGATAACAGCAGGAGAAACTAAAAGAG